AGGGAGATAAGAGTCCCATGGACTTTCCTGTCCAGGCTGGCTTCAAACCTAGATCCTCAGATCTCAGTCTCCTTGCGCAGCTAGGATTATAGGCATGAGACACCATTACACCCAGCTCAACCTTTCTTTTTTTTTTAACCACTACTCTGTGTTATTTGTCTCTCATTTATTTTCCTTTTTGATTCCAGTTCTTTCATTCAGCTTTTTCCATCTTCTGTTAGTTGAGAAGTTATGTGCCCTTTTACTTTTCTTTCTGCTAGTGACAACAAAGACATGGTATCATTATACCATCTCAAAACCACTGGATTCTCTCCTTTTTCTCCACACAGTTTTGTTTTGATTTGGATAATTTCTCTCTTCATGATCACTGATCTTTCCATATGTGTCCAAACTTTTAATAACCCATTAAATAAGTGCTTTATCTTTACTATCACCCTTCTTATTTCTAGAATTTCCATTTGACTAAGTTATAGTACAGCTCTCTGTTGAAATGACCTATATAGCTATGCATTTCAATTCTTCCATCAGACCTTCAACTTATTAATCAGTTCTTTTAAATTATTTAACATGTCCTGTGTCTTCTGATATTAGATGTCTTGCTTTATGCAAAACCTATGTCTAGAAATTTTTATTGAATGCTAGATGTTCAATGAAGATGGATGTAACACTATGCTCTGAAACAGACATGTATCCTTTGTGAGGCTTGCTGTATTGCAAGCTGAACAAGCCTAACTCAGTAGTTTGTCTGGGTTTGAGTTTCTTTTCTGGTACGGTCATCTTTAGGGAAAAACAGATCTCAAATTCCTCCACCAATGGGCAACTGTTACTTTGTGCAGCCTGAGGAAGGTCAAAGGATTTTCCTCAGTTCCTACTCTACTCTTGGCTTCCACATTCATAGCTTCCCTAATAAAATACTGCTGCCCAATACTACATGCTAGGGCTGATGGTGGAAGTAAGGAATTCTTGGTTATCTTGGATCAACTTCACCTAAAATAAAGCAAGACCACTAAGTTCAGGCCTTTTTCACTGGTCCTACCCTATGATCTTTCATCCTGGGGAGAGTGAGGTCTTCAACAAGGTTGTTTCTGCCTCTCACCCATTGGCAACAGACTCAGTTTCATATCTGTGCAGGTCTTGGGCCCAACATCATTACCTTCCTTTGCCTTTTTTTTATGGGGGCATATCTGATGGCATTTAGTTCCCACCCATAAATAATCCAGGATAATCTCCTTATCACCCAACCCTTAGTTTAACCACATTCTGAAAAGACCCCAATTTCCAAATAAGGTAATATTTGTAATGTATGGGGACCACAGCCTGTGGGAGTAGGACTGGGGAGAAGAAAACAGTATTCTGACTATCTCACCACTTGAGTAATTTTCATGCAAGCAGCTAAATTATGACTGATTTTTTATTTATTTATTTTTTGTCCGCCATGGAACTTGAACTCTGGGCCTGGGTGCTGTCACTCAGCTCTTCAGCTCAAGCCAAGTGCTCTACCTACTTGAGCCACAGAGCCACTTCCGGTTTTCTGGAGGTTTATTGGAGATAAGAGTCTCACGGACTTTTCCTGCCCGGGCCGGCTTTGAACCGTGATCCTCAGATCTTAGCCTCCTGAGTAGCTAGGATTACAGGTTTGAGACACCGGTGCCCGGCATAACTGATACTTTTAAAAGATGTCTCTGAGTAGTTAGCTCTAAGAGGCAAAGCAGAAGCAGTAGGTCCAGCATGCCGCTGTTGTAGTATCAAGATCAGATGACTGAGGTTTGAGGAGTAAAATTTCACATTAGAGATCTGCTGCAATCATGAACAGATAGTAGAAGAGTTGAATACTAGTTAAGAGGGAAAACTCAGGAATCAGGCTTCCTAGTAAAGGTTCATTATATCGCTTGCTAGAGTGGTGACTTGTCAAGTTATTTAAGTTATTCCCTCCTCGGGAATGTCTGTTATAAAGCTACTGTCAGGATTCAGATATAATAATGTGTAAAATGGTTGATAAGAGTATAGTGTCTGACACATGTAAGACCTCAATAAATATTTACCACAGTTTTACTATGTGTGCCTGGCATTGTACGTTTTCCATATAATTTTATGACCTATATTTTTAGTAAGGGAAACAATGAATTGTATTTAATAATTCCACAGGTAGAAACTTTTTTCTGTACTAAAATATAAAGGAGTTTCCTATGCTATTAGTGTAATTATTACCATTTTAAATTTAAAGGAATGTGGTATTTTAGAAATGTATCTTGCCAATCAAATTCTTTTACATCGGAATAATAGAAGTTCAAATCAAATATTAAACTCTGCATCTAATATTTCAATTTAATATATTATGAAGAAAGAAAACTTGATTAAATAAGGACCCAAGGAAAAAATCTTTTTCAAAAGTGTCCTAGAGTTAAATCATAAAACATGAATTATAATTACTATATTTTAGACATTTTAAATTGTAGATCAAGAGGCCCTGAATTCAAAATCAGTACTGTGTGACAACAAAAAAAACCACAAAACTCCTTTCCAAATTCTTAAATTTAACCTTGAGGTGAGCAATCAAATTGTACAACCATTCATTGCCCACTTTGTAAATAATTTAAGAAACAATGTAAATAAAATAGAATTACTTCAATTCTCATCCTCATGCTGTTCCTGCCATTTTTTATCTTAAATTCTTTCATTCCTAAAACCAGCAAAAACAGTCACCTATTTTTTAAAAGCCATTTTACACTTAGTACATTGTAGCAAGGATGAAATACAAATGCAATAAAACAAACCCATCTATGGTAAAACTTATAATGTCTAAGCAGAATCTCTGACATCACCTCATCTCTGGATCTTTAGGATGATAGAATGACGGGTAGGGGGTGAGCTCTCCAAGATGCTTACAAGTGCAGGTATAAGGACAGGAAAGCCACTGGGAATAATTTGTTACATGATATATCTACAGTTCATATCTCTAAATCCTTTCACAGTAAACTGTTTGAAGAAGATCAGTATTTGTAAGTATTCAAATGATTTCCCCCGTGAATACAACAGACTATCACCTAAGATACTAAAACCAGCAAAAAAAAATGTGGTTCTTAAGTCAGAAACCTGGAGGCAAATCTAATCCATTATAGAGTTCCATTCACTGTGTTCCTACAGATGTACCTCAGATGTGCCACCACGCTTCTTAATCATCTTAATCTAGGCTGCCATCAACCGTCAGAAGGACTGGTGCAGAAGGCCTAACTGGGCCACTCCAACTTCCTCTCAACACACTAATCAAAATGACCTCCATAAAACGTAAGTGGGATTAAGTCACTAACTTGTGCTAGTCTTCAAAGGTGAAATTTCCTCACTCCTCAGAATAAAAACCAAGGTTTGCATGCTCCATCAAAGACATTTCTCTGACTTTTCAACTCACACCCCACTCTGCCCCAGTAGATCCTAACCACACCTGCCTCTCTCTGTTCCTCTATGTTCCACTTTATCTTAGCCAGATGCTGGTGGTTTATGCCTGTAAATCTAGCAAATCAGGAGCTTGAGATCTGAGGATCACAATTCAAAGCCACTCTATGCAGAAAAGTCTGTCAGATGCTTATCTCTAGCCAGCATAAAGCCAAGAAGAACTGTAACTCAAGTAGTCAAACATCAGCTTTGAGCCAGAAAGTGAAGCAAGAACATGAGGCTCTGAGTTTAGCCCAGTACAAGTACAAAAAAGAAAGATATATTAGAGATCAGAACATATATTAAAGATCTTCTGAAGGTCAATCTCATCTTTGATTTTTTTTATTTTGGTTCTACTCAACTTTGGACATTTAATATGCAAAACCTGAATTTAATACGCTTACTTATATTAATTCTACAGCCTAAAAGACCTACACACTTGTTCCTTTCTACTACTGTTTGTTTATCTGACGCTTCTGATGTCATGTTAACAAACTTAGGTAAGCTAATATTGCTGAAATTGAATATTAAAATGACGCTGGTCTGTGTATGCTTACTCTCTTTGAAATTATGGCATAATTCTGGGGGGCAAAACAGATATAAAAGTCTTGATTCACTTGTGAATCACATGCAATGCCAAAATAACTATAATCATCACTGGAGCCAGTAAGAAATGAACACTGCCTGAACAGAAATGTAAACATCTTATAAAAATGTCATAGTACACCTGATCTAAATCACAACAGCTAAAAGCATGCTCTGTAAATCCAAAAGTAAACCCAAGGATATATTAATAATTACAGTACTTAAACATATACAAATGATTAAAAGTTGAGAAAAACATTACTACCAAATGGAAAGCCAAGGCAAAGTTACTAAAGTTAGTAAATACTATTAGAAAATACTACCTCTATTAATATGTAACCTCTCTGACCCCTATTAGTATGTAAGCTCCTGGAGGACACAGAAACAGCTGTCTGTTTTAAGGGAGTTCTTGTGAAGTGACCACTGCATAAAAGTGAAAATAAATAATATGAATTATTAAACATTTAACATGTTGCATTATTGATTAATAATGTTAAGTAGAATCATGTTAAGAAAGAATGTGATAATAGATAAAACACATTGAAAACAGGAATACTAATTCTGAAAGAATTTAGGAAACAATAAAATAAATGTGAAACTAAAATCGTGGTATGTATAATCAAACCTTTATTGGTGATTTTTTTTTAGAAATCACCACAGGACATTTATAAAGAGGATCAGTTAAAAATATATTATCATTGTGGTAGAAATACAGATTAATGGATTCATATAGATGTTAGTTAACAGAAGATCAAGTAATATTCTCTGGCTTTTTAAGAAAAATTAAGATGAACTAATTTTAAGAAAATAACTACAGAAATCTTTACAACTAATTTCTCTAAATATTTGTCACTCAAGATGCACATAGTAATACTGCCCCCAAAGCAATTATTAGGTACAAAAGATCAGCCATCAAAGCTCCAAATTTTCTCAACAATAACAACATACTACTGGAAGGAAATGGAAAAACATTTAATACAACTTACTCTGACTTTTGGCAAGACTCTCCGAAGTGTTTCAGTGGGATTCTGTCTCATCAAAACTGGAAGATTTGCAATCACACTTGTTCCTTGGATATCTTGACCAGCACTTACAAAGAAAATACAAATTTTAAATTTGTAACTATAAGCAGAATTCATAGTTTATGATTATAAAAAGAATGGATTAATTTGAAAACAACAACCTTTCATGACTTCCTAATAAGTGTTTGATGTATCATTGAGATATAGAAATAAAACTAAGAATAAAATTTCATTGAATAAACCTTTACAATTTATGAAGATATTAATTATGGTTGTGCTAAAGTAAGTCTCTATATGCATGTCTGAAATCGTAAAGTCTTGAGACTATTTTTAAAGACTTGTAACTTCTAGCTCATTTTTCCCTGTGATCTGTCACTTTGCTACACTTTATGAAAAATTTTATTATGTTAAAGTAATAGGCATTGCAACAACAGGGCTAGCAATAAAATCAACTAGACAAATCGTACAAGTCCTTTATTAGTACAGTGAAATTTCTTATTCTTCTAGGCTGGCGTCATGAGTTGCCAGAAATTTTGTAAAAATGCACTCAATATTCTTACAAGTCAGTAGGACATTTATACAATGCCTCTTTGACATACATTTAACAAGATGTTACCAAAATAAAATCTGTGTTGTCAGCTGGCCTAAATACCTTAACAAAATACTTGAAAAACTTGATTCTTCTGAAAATCTATTTCCATAATAAACTACAAAAAATTGTTTTTGAAATATAACCTAAGTAACTTGGGTTTACCAAGTAATTTTTATTTTTATTTTATTCTTTCTTTTAAAAAATGTATAATATTATCTTTAAGTAGTTGTACAAAACTGCTTCAATTCAACATATCAGCATCTTGATCACAGTCACCCTTTCTGTCATTACCTCCTCATTTCCCCCAACCTCACTCATTCTTCTTTCATTACTGGATCCATTTTCATATATGTACACAGAATACTATGACTGTATCTGCCCACCTTTCCCCTCTCCATTTACCTATCCCTCCCTCACCTTGACCTACAACCTGACAAAACTTGTTCCAGCTTCCTGGTATTCATTTTGCTAAACTATAAGTTAGGTTCAAAGGCGTTATATCATTGGAATGCTCCACTGTGCATGTCAAACTTTAGTTAATTTGTTGGTATATATGCGTGTGTTTTCATATATGTTTATAACATTAACTAGCACATGAAAGAAAACGTGACCTTTGTCTCTCTGAGCCTGACTTACTTTACTTAACATAGTTATTCCAGGTCTATTTCCCTGAAAATGACTTATTATTGCTCCTTATGGATGAATAAAATTCCATTTGATCTTGAGATAAATAGATAGATAGATAGATAGATAGATAGATAGATAGATAGATAGATAATCATATTTTTATCCACTCATCAACTTTATAATATCTGGGCTGTTTCCATAACTTCAGTATGGTGAAAAGCTCAGCAATAAATATGGATGTACAGGTGTCTTTACAGTGTCCTGGCTTGTCTTCCTTTGGATAAATGCCCCAAGAGTAGTTTTCACTGGGTCATAATTCTATGTTAAGTTCACATCAGTAATCAATGGATCAGGATCACAAGTTCAAGACCAGCCTGGTCTAGCACTCTACTACTTAAGCCACAGTTCTACTTCTGGCTTTTTTTATGCTTAATTAGAGGGGACAGAAGAGGAGGGAAGGGGAGGAGAGGACTTGAGTTAAAATATTTTAAAAGTTTTAGAAAAAAAAAAAAACAGGAGAAAATCTTCTAGAGCTAGAGTTAGGCAGAGTTCTTCAATTTTGATACAATCTATAAATTAAACCTTATCAAAGTTTAAACCATTTGTGTAATAAAAATAACCTGGAAAATAATGAAAAGACAAGTCACAGGCTGAGAGAAAATAATTTCCAACTACATGTTTGACAAAGGTCTAGCATCTACATTACATAAAGAACTCTTATAAGTCAACAGTAATAAGGCTGGATGTGTAGCTCAGTGATAAGGTACTTGTTTATCATGTACTCTGGTTTCAATCTAGAGGCCCTTCACCCCAGAGAGTATGGGATGAAAATAGTAATAAAACACATAAGATGACTAGGAAACCAGTAAGAGATATAAAAAGATAGGCTAGCATCTTTGGTAAGGATGCTCTACAGACTGAAAGTCAGCATAGCAAAAAGTGCTCAGTAAAATGATCCATTAGACAAAGATAACATACCACCACAATGAGGTACTGCAGTACCCTGTTCAGAATAGCTACAAGTAATAACAATGTGAAATGCAAATAAATGAGACTACTCATCCACTGCTGGAGGGAAGAATGTAAGCCAGTACAGTCACTTAGGGAAACACTTCAATAGCTTTAATAACATACATACTATATATGTATATATATATATATATACACATATATATATGAGATGTATAACATATATGTATATATATTAAAGGAGATATATAATGTATGTGTATATATACACATGTATGTGTACATATACATATATATATACACACACATACATTATACATCTCCTTTAATCTGTGAATGCTTAAATATCCATAACAGAGTGTTCCTCAGCAGTAAAGAACAAACTATTAATGTGTTTAACAACCTGAATGCATCTCCAAAAACTTATGCTGAATTTTAAAAATGCTGACAAAGTCAATAAAGCCAATAATTAGATTAATTCAAATCTAGCCAAAATAAGATATTGTTTCATAGCCACTAGGATGATTAAATTAAAAACTGAACATGTAATGTTGGTGGGGAAAGGAGGAACTGGAACTCAGATACTATTGGTAGATGATAGTATAAACCACCTCAGAAAACTCTGACAATATGTTAAAAGGCTACACATATACTTACCAAACAACTCAGATATCCAGTCTCATTTACACAAGGAAAATAAAAGCATATGTTCACCCAAACACCTGAACACAAATGTTTACTAGCAAGTAAATCCAATTGTGATCTGTGTATACAATGGAATACCAGTAGCAATTTTTTAAATGAACCACTGATACATTCAAAAGTATGGACATATTTCAAAGCAAGTATGATGAGTGAAAGAAGTCATAGTACTTTAGACATGAAACTCAGCAGGATCACAGTTTGAAGCTAGCCTTAGGAGGGGGAAATATTAGTGAACCCCTAAAGGTCAAGAAATAATCTGGCTGTGGTGACACACACCTAGCTATGCATGAAGAATAAGTAGGAGGATCATGATCTGAAGCCAGACCCAGGAAAAAACACAGCTCCTATCTGAAAAAATAACCTAGATCAAAAAGGGCAGGAGGCATGGCTTGCTTAAGTGGCAGAGTACCTGTCCAGCAAGCACAAGAAGATCCTGAAATTCAAGGATCAGAAAAAGAGAAAAAGTGTGTGAGAGAGAGAAAATGTAAAGAGAATACACACTATCATATGACTCATTTGTGTAAAATTACAGAAATTGCAAACTGAACTACAGTGGCAGAAAGCAGCCAAGTTGTTGCTTAGCAATGAGTAAAGGAGAATGAAGGCTGGATTATGAAAGGGGCTTAAGGAAACTTCAATCTATGATCATGATCATGGTGAAGGCTTCCAAGGTACATATATGTGTACGTGTGTGTGTGTAGACACACAAATGACAAAAACTGGAAACACATACATATATATACATATACGCAGCACATACATATACATATACATACATACATACATATGTATATACAAGCTTGGTTCAAAACCCAACAAACTGTACATCTTTAAAACATATAGTTCAAAATGCTGGAGGGGATGTGGAGAAAGAGGAACCCTATTACACTGCTGGTGGGAATGTACACTTATACAACCACTTTGGAAAGCAGTCTGGAGGGTCCTTA